GAGAGAGAGAGAGAGAGAGAGAGAGAGAGAGAGGAGAGGTCCGGAGCGCTTCCTCCTCCTCTCTCCTCCCCTTCAGCGCTCCATCTTTCTCCCTCTCTCCCTCCTCTGCCCTCGCTCTCCCCTTTCTCTCAAATTGACGTCGGATCTGGGCTCGAAACATGATAACAGAAAAGCCTCACTGCGCTCCGCGTTGTCGGCCTCTCCTCCTCCTCCTCCTCCTCCTTCTCCTCCTCAACCCAGACCACCTAAAACTCAAATAAGCAGCAGGCGTTCACAGGACTAAAAAAAAAAAAAAAAAAAGGCAGAAAAAAAAAGAGGACAGCACAATTCTCCTATCAGCGGAGGATAACAAGAAGACAGACCTCATACCACACTCAGCCCAACTGTGCGCTCCTCCTGCGCATCGCTCGCGACCTCACAGTGCTCGTGCTGGAACTCCGGTGAAAGTTAGCATGTATGCGCACGCTTGGATCCGCGCGAGCCTGGGATTTGTAGCGTTCTGTCTGCTCGTCTTTGTCCAGCGGCCAGCTTCAGGAAGCAAGACCGCTCCCGGTAAGTTTGCACCTAAAAAAAAAAAAGTATTTCTCTTATTTTACACTAATAACAGAAAGAGAACCGCTCATGTCTGAACGTAACAAGTTAAAAGTAAAATGAATAAATAAACAAAGAGCTGAATGAGGTCCGGGTTTAGGGTTAAGCTAAGTGACACAGTTCTGTTATCAGTTCTTGTTGCTTTTTGTTGTGTGTCAGCCTGCTGAGCTGCCTGACTGTAAGCAAACCTGCCCGGACAGAAAAAAAAAAAAAAGCAGAGTAAACACAACATAAATAGATAAATAGGCTGAGATAAAGTTTTCCCCGCGAGTTTTGCTGTTGTTGGAAACGAGCGGCAGCCTTTGATCTTCACAGCATCAACACTTCTGCTTCATAGTTGATCCTGCAGGTAATTGTAGCGAGACTAGCAGGAGGGATTTGTCACAGTCTAGACAAGTATTTGACACCAGCTTGCAACCAACACGTACACTCACATGCACACACCTACACTCACATGCACACACCTACACACACATACACACACCTACACTCATACACACACCTACACACACATACACACACCTACACTCATACACACACCTACACACACATACACACACCTACACTCATACACACACCTACACACTGCTGAGCCTCGCCTGACACTACAGCCACTGTACTGTCCCCACTTCTCATCCTCTCATCTTGGGAGATTTCACCCCCACCCCACCTCTCCCGAAGGACAAGACAGGCCGACAGTCAGACCCCTCCAGGCCACCTTTACCGGATCAAAGAAAAGACACACTCAAGTTTCTGATCCACTCGTCTGCTGCCCCCACCCCTCCTTCCCTCCCTCCCCCTCCCTCCTTTCAGGTTTTCATCACTTAATTTTCCCACAATACAAATGCCAAGCGAAGCTGCCAGAAAGTATTTGCATGCAAAGACACATCACAGCTCCTGTGTGAGTGCTGATTGTGGTCGCTGATGTTTAACACTCACTAAAAAGACATCTCTCAGGCAGCCAACAAGGAAAGGAAAAAAAAGAAGAGAGAGAGAGAGAGAGAGAGAGAGAGAGAGAGAGAGAGAGAAAGAGAGAGAGAAAGGGGGTGGGTGACTATTTTGCATCCTGGGTGGTCTGCCCCCGCTTGTGGGAAAACTCAATATTTACATTTTGCAATTAGAACTACTTTTTTCTCACTTTGTATTCCACAGCGTCGATTACACACTTCCTTGTGGCGTGGAATGCTGCCGTGTGAGAGTGGCCCAGTAATGACATGCACCTGTTTGTTGGTCACCGAGCGAAACGCAGCCGACGACCACTTGACTGGCCTCTCCTCCAGTTCCTGTTTATCCGTGCAAAACTCCGCGCCGACACGCTTCTTTTGCTTCGTCCTCGGCTGTTTGTCAGCACGTCGGACGGAAATGAAATAAATGTTGGGTTTTGATGTTGGAGGCAACTCTTGCAGTACTTTAAAAAAAAAAGGGGCCTTTGAAATCGGGAACCGTTTCGAAAAGATTATGAAACCAAAACGACGAATGAGTGACTAACAAACACAGTTTGTCAGTGCCGTATTTATCCAGCACAGATGTTGTCTTTACTCAGTGTCATTCTCATCATGGTGCTGTTTGTGGCGTCAGTCATTGCTCGGGGAGGGAAAAAAAAGACGAGTGGAGTTGGTAGAGGGAGGGAAAATCTGAGGATGACAAAGAAGGGAAAAAATGGGGGAAATCGGGAGGAATTAAATGCACGGCGAGAGCCGACGAGCCGGCAGACACAAGTGAGGAAAAAGAGGAAGCAAAAGAGGGGAGTGGGATACGTCATGGCAAATCACTTTCCCCTCAAAGAGTCGGCGTCTCTTACAGCGGCACCAAGGCAACGGTTGGTGTGGGGCTGACATGCTGCTGTGGCTGGCTGTGTTGGTGTAACCTCTGCTCCGGGGCCTGGGGATCTAAAGATGCGGGGCTGTCGGAGCGGGGAGGAAGGCCACATGCGGGCCTTGACACACTGTGGGAACCGAGCGGCCCGAGCAATATGAGGCCCAAGTGATGGGGAGGCTTACCTTGAGACACTCACTGAGTCTGCACTATGAGTGCAGTGGAAGGGAAGAAGAAGAAATCCCCCAACGCTCGCTCGCTCACCCCTCTCCTCTCGCTTTGTTTGCTTTGTCTCTGCTTCCCTTTCCTTTGCACTTAATGAAGTAGCTGCACTTTTTCTTTGTCAGCCACAAGCAACAACTGCATTACACCCTCCGTGTCAGAGAGTTCCCTGTCAGACCCATGTGCTAATTGTAGTTTTGCAAAAAAAAAAAAAAGAAAAAAAAAAAGAAGAGCACAACAACCCCCTGCCCTCTCCCGAACTTTCTCTAGTCATCTCCAGCCTATTTTAGTTATATAAGACTAAATGTGCTACAGGTCTGTGCAAAAATACAAGCATTGCTGGACAGTCAGTGCAATAAAAAAAGATCGTCTTTTAGGAAACACATTTTAACAACCTGTTGCTTCCAATCTAAGAGTCTTTCAGCTTCCGTTCGATGGATTTTCACACATTCTTCCTGGAAAAGTCTTCAAGCTCTGTGAGATTCTTGAGTCGTCTTGCGTGTTCTGCTCCTCTGAAGTCCAGCCTTAGATGTTTGATGTCGTTTTGCTTGGAGAGTTGAGGTGAGGTGGGGCGGGGTTGGGGGTAAATCTTTAGTTTGTTTCTCTCGTAGTAGCCTGTTGTGGACTTGGAGACATGTTACACCATCATTATACAGCTGGGTAGTCATTGCCTTTTTCTTCTTCAGCCTCTTTAACCCACGTTTTACAATTGGAGAGCTGTTCTTTTCTTTAATCATCATCTGCTCAAAGTGCTCCAAAACTCTTATTTGAACATATTTAGTGCACAATGCTCATTTTCAGAACTCATCAGTGCTATTTCTTGGGCTTTAACTTGTCCTTTGCAGTTGCTTTTAATTGCCATTTGTACATGAAATGACACAGCAGAACCTGAAAATGCTTTGCTGTTTTCTTGTCATCTTCTCCTGCTTTGTAATTTGCAGACTAAAAAAAAGGCAGATGTTTAAAGGTAGGAACTCACTGGGCTTCAACTGTTGAGGGACCTGTTGGAGTCCAACAGGTCCCTCCCAATTATATGTCTCCAACAGTTGGAGACATACTGTATAATTGCCAGAAATAAATGCAAAATTTCTACCGGAATCTCACTGAACATTTGCACAAAATCTCTGCAAAATTTACTGGGAATTTACATAATACTTTACATAAACAAACTGTGAAGGGTTCAAGAAGGGTTTCTGAAGGGGTTCTTAACCCTAACCCTAACCCCTGCTGTAACAATACATCAATCTGCATTGATAAATCAATTAAAGGAGACATATATCATGCTTTAAATCATTACTTTTCACATTTAAATTATTCAGTTGGAGTCTTTGTTAAGTGGAACTGCCAACACATTCTCACTCCCAACTCGTCAACATATTGATGCTTGGTCAGGTAGCCGTCTGCGTCCAGCTTCGGATGCGTCAGGTACCCCCCGCGCGTCAGTTCTTAACGAGATGAGGCGGAGGAGGACGAACGCGTTGTCATATTTTTTGAAAAGAGTAGGAAATGTGTGAAACTAACCATCCCAGACCCTAAATTTAACTTCTATTAGCCCTATACAGCCTATTCCCGACCTCAGTACCTAAAATTAACCATTAATCCTGATCCCTCATATTAACCTCAGACCCCCAACCCAAAGACCCCTAAGTGGTGCAACTCGGAAAAGCCGCGGGTGGCAATAACTGATGTTACCCGACACGTCAAAACTGTACGCAGACGGTCCCTGACCAAGCGTCAATATGTTGAAGAGTCGGGAGTGAGAACGTGTTAGAACTACAACACTTTGGTCTGAATTCCTCCTTATTGTAACTCCACAAGCCCCTCTTTCACCCCTTTTCTAAGCTGTGTCTCAGTTCAACTCGTTTTGAGGCTGTCCCTGTAAATCTAAATGAGGTGCTTCACACCTCGTCCCCCTCCAGCTTCCAGAGCAACCGTCCATTCTAGTTTGATAGAGGGGGTTTATGACTATATAATGGCACAGAAACATTTTATTTACAAATTAGTTAAAAGATGTCAACAACTTGTCCATCCAGACTTACATGTTGGAGCCAGATTCTGACCCAGAGCAAGAGGAGAATGAAAAAACTGTAGTTGGTAAGTCCAGACTTATTTTTGGCAGTTCCATTGCAAAATACTGTGAAATAATAGTTCATGAAACATCATAGAAAATTCAAAAAATGAACAGGTTGAAAAATATGACCCAAAGAGAATATTAAAATATCTACTCTGCACCTGGGGAAACTAAATTAAACTTTTCTGAAATGAGACTCCAGTACACAACAAAATGTATTTGATGGCTAAAAACAGCTAAATAAAAAAGGATATGCATATGTCCCCAACAAATGAATCAGTTATAACAAGGCAAAATGAAAACATCGATCCATATCATCATCATCATATGCCTGATGTGGATTGATACCATAATGCAATGATTGTGTCAGATGAATATATGATATCACATCATATCGACTGCAGACTCGTGAATTGAATCAAAATCGTATGACAGACATTGTGATATTGAAAAACATTGTTTCGTCAATCAGTCCAAACAAATGGATATTTGTTATTGTGATAAAGCTGGTGATTTACCCCAAGTTTCTGATTCTTGTCACAGCTCTATTTTGACAGAATTTTATTTTAACAGGGAGCAAGGGTTTAAGAAAACTGAGACTCCCCACGAATGTTTTGAGACATTTTGGAGATTCGCTTGAGAATGTTGTTTCTCACAGTTGGAGTCCAATGAAATCTTGGCTTTAGAGGAGCCATTGGCTGGGGATTGATGGTACAAAATGAGAGGGATCATTTATGAGCTTTAACATTTGCATTGACTGGGCCAGCAACAAAGGACCTCTGTGTTCAAATCTCAGCTCAGACCTTACCTTGCAGAGCAGGTAATCTCCAGGCACTGTCTCTGTCATTGTAAT